TTGACTGAGTAGTCAGTACTGTTTTTGGTTGAAATTTGTAAAATCTTTCTCTTAAAACAATTCTTCAGGAAAATAGGTTTCTCAAGTCTAGTAGCTGTTATTGCTCTTTCCAGTACTGATGGGAGTTTCCCTTCTAACCTTTTATTTGAAGTGGTGTGGAATATCAACATGTTGATTATGTCATCATTTTCACTTGTTGGTCATGTAGGTAGCACAGTTCTCCTGTCTTTTATGCCTTATGTACAATAAGCCTTGCCTTTTTCCTGTTTCTTTTTTAAAGATATTTTGCCTAGATCTTAGATGGATTGATTTTACATTCTAAATAACAATTTGTCTATAGATTTCTGACAACTGAGAAAAAATTTTCTTCATATCCCACCATAAAATCTTTGTCTGATGAAATTTAAAACACTTAAAATAAGAATTATTTTTCACAAAAAGCTAAAAGTGACATATGTAAATCAGATATAAGTAGTAATTTGAAATGTTCTTTGAATATCATTTGGATCAATAAATATATTTGCCTTTAAAATAATTGCTTTTTCATGTAGTTTGTTCTTATTATTTATGAAGATTTGAGAGATGAAGTTGCTACATGCCATAACAATAAGAATGTCTTGTTTGAAAACTCCTGCAATTCTTAGATGCTGAACACTGTTTAATATTGATCTTTGTATTTCCTTATCATCACCATCAGAAAGATGACATAACAAGATGGTAACAGCTGCAATTGATGTTTCATGTTGTCTGTTCTTAAGTAGATACCAATTAAATTCCTCTGAGGAACAACTGAAGACAGTCGACAGACACATGGTTACTTATACACTCTTATTGGTAAACATCTGGTTAAATGAATGAGCTAAAAATGGAATGAATATAGTCAAAAAGTTACAAAACAAACAAACAAACAAACAAGATAAAGTAAAATATCAGAGTAAATTATAGAATGTGTTGTAGCATATGAGGTTTTAAAAGAGTAATAATTTAGAAGCTGTTTAAGTAAAGAAGTAACCTTCTTGTAAATTATAGAATAATTTTGATAAAAAGTTATTATTAGAACAGTTCATTCACTGAGAAAGAATTTTTTAAATTTGAAATCAATCAAGAAGAGCTTGATAAATTATATAATCAAGAAAAATAAATATGAAGCACGCTTTCCTTAAAAAGGAAAACAGAGCCTTATACAACTATGAGTTTTTATATATATATATATACATATATATATATATAATAAATCAAATAAATCCATTGGTATGTAATCCAAGTGGATCCAAGTAATATAAAATATTAAAATTGATCTGTAAAAAGAGCTCAATGTATTTATTATTACAGAGCAGATAATTAATGCACAAATAAATCCCAAATCACCTCATATGGGGAATAAGCTTATTTCAACCAACGAAATTGGTTAGTTTTATTCAATCCCTGTATAAACTGAGTTCATGTTGGAATTAGAAATTTAACTGTGAAAACTACAACAAAAACCTCAAAAAATAATACAGAATTTATCCACTTCAATATTTTAGTCAGATGAAAGGCACAAGACAGTGGTCAAGGGAGAGTGGAAAATATTAATCTTAAAGGGAAGAAGTTTTATAAAATTAAACCCAGATTTTAACCTTATCATATTAAATTGGGTTTATATAAGGAATGATGTGTTAATTAAAACTAAGAGAGTATATATAGTGCTTTTCCAAGTGTAGCTTATATGTGGCACAAGGCCAAAATATGGGGCACCCAGTAAGGATCAAACTCACTACTCAGTCGTAGTTGTTCTAGCAAGGCATGCTTGCTAACCATTACACCACCTCAAGGTTCCCAACTAAGAGAGTATATATATGTGATAAAAGATATAGTTCCAATATATGCTGTATATATGAATAAAACTGCTTAATATCAGGAATGTTATATATAACATTATATATAATGCATATATTTGCATTTTTCTTGGTGAAGTGATTCTTTTTTGGCTTAAGACCACACTTTTAGGAACCTGGTGGACTGGCACTACACAATCACAAAGAACTGTATAAATAATAGAAACCACATCACTTGAGGACATTAAGCAACATTCAACAGCCAAAACTTTTGTCATTTATCTAAATCAATATTCATAATGTAACCCTGATGTATTTTTTGGCACAGCCATTTTCATATGTCATACAGATCATCTCTTTCAGTCTCTCAATTGCAGTCATCTTTAAACAACTTTGAAGTGTTGACATTTCCTTTTAGATACTGAAAGGGAAAACTGTGAAATTTTAAGAAAAACGGTTTCTAAGAATAATGTCAAGTGTTCCTGAAGTTTAAAGAGTATATGGTTCATCAAGAACAGCCAGGCAATAGCTAGAAAACATCTACACATCACTGGATTTGATTGCATCCCAGACTCACATTCCGTTAATATTAAATATGACAATATTATAGAATTGTCATATGCAGAAGGCATAAATGTTAACAAAACTTAATAGAGAGATTTTATTTATTTCAACTGAAATCAGTAGTGAATACTTAGTTTATGAATGCTGAATGTTTCTTCATAAGGAAATATTACTTTTACCATTTATCAGAGTTCTCTATAGAATCACAAGGAATTAGAAACAGTATGACATGTTGAAAATAATTTAAGTAATAAAATGTATAAAATCTAATCAACATTTAAAAAAATTATTATTTAATCTTTCTGTTCACAAGTAGAAAGAAACTTTTACTTATTTCTTGTCAGTTCTTTTAGTATTCATTGTACAGTTATACCTTCGGTTACATCATTTCAAGTTAAATCATTTTCAATTATAGGTTGTTTCTTAAAAAAATTATATGGAAAAATAAAAATCAAGTTTACGTCAATTTATTTGACTTTATTTCTGTCCACCACAAATATTGAAGTCATAATATCACTAGAAGGGCATTAAAACCGTATAAAATCATGTTACTATACAATAAATAAAAGTATATAAAATCATATTAAAATATGTACATTTACAGTAAATGTTAAATATAATCATAATAAATCTTAGAGAACGTAATATGAAAACATCTGTGACTCTGTTAAGAGTTATCACTCTATTAAGAATCAAGTTGAAAGTGCATCAGCTGATGAACAAGCAGCAGCTGATTTTGCTAAAGCATTGGCTAAGATCATTGAAAAAAACGGGTTTCTTCCTGAACAGATTTTTAATGTTGACAAAAGTGGATTATACTGGAAATAATTGCTAGATTGTTCCTTCAATTCTAAGTGTAAGGCTATATTGCTGATAAATTATTTTATTCAAAATACTGTATGTACATATCATAAATACAGTAATATGCAATGGGGAGTGCTTATTTTCAGTTTATAGTGTAGTTATTTTGACTTAAGTTTGTTTTTTTTAACCTAAGTCGTGACCTCTGGAACCAATTAGCAATGTAGGGTGAGGTATACCTGTACTAGTATTTATCTACTAGAATGAATGAAAATTTTGCTATATTTAATGAGTCTTATCCAATCCTGAGTTAACACTAAAATCAAGAGTAAGATGTTTGATGAATATGTTCTGCTAGTGATGAGTTATGGAAGTTAGAGATGAGCACTAAACACCACTTCTGCAGAGACTCAACATAAAATGAAACAACTCATGCTCGGAATCACCTTACCTGATAAAAAGAGCAACACCTGGATTCTACAGTGGACTGAAATGAAGGACATAATTAACACCTTCAAGAAGGGTAAACAGATGTACTGGTCACATGTCTGATCTCAGAGACAACAGGTGTACTATTGGAGTGATAGAGAGACACCAAGATTGTGGAAAAGATCTAGAAGGTGGACAAAAATAAGATGGTGTGACAAATCTAACCTCATACCTTAGCCCCACATGGCCCAGAATGACCAGAGATAGGAAGTGATGGTAGTTAACCAGGTATGGGTTCCTCCAAAAGGAGAGAGAAATTCTTAGGTTTAGATTTGGATTGTCCAGTATATAACAACTTAAACTACTAGTTTGTTTAGATTCATTTTAAAGATGTATATTATTTGATTGTAGCTAACTTTAGAAAATCTTTCTGTTGAAGCAGAATAATGGAGAGATATTTAACTAGATTTAAAGATAGATGCTTTAAGCCTAGTATCATTGGTCTAGGAATATGGAATAATTAAAAAATTTTATTATTAAAAGAATTTGGGTCCTTGCTCTTTATCTTTTGAATCGCTAAAACAGTTTTGAATTATTTATGCAAGTCAAGACAAGTCTTGAACAAGTCAATAACTCATTAGATATTTTAGTAAAACATTTTAAAAATCATTTTGAAATGTCTGGCTATACATTTTGTTTGTTTTTTAATATTATTTTCATCTCTGCTTTTTTCCTCAGTATATCAGCTCATCTGAGTTTACATCTTGTTCTTGTGAAATATTATGGTTCATACTGGGTATAACATCAAAGATTTTGATCAAGAAGAAATAATATATTAACAGCAGCTCATTTGAAAATGTTAGATGAAAAGCCATTCAATTTTCTTGGAACAAAAAATAAATTTAAACAGCTAAAACATTATTCACAATGAATACTTTTTAGCAAAATGTAACAAATTTCTGTTTCAAAGACATTTCTGCAGTCAAGTTATTATAATACCATTAGGCTATGGTATGAGCTACTTCAAGCTATTATAATATCATTAGACTATGGTATAAGTTACTTCCCTCAACATATGCTAAGTCTGTAGTAAAACTTGTCAAAATTTCTCTTTAATATACTGGAATCAGTCTTATGCTAATTAAGAGACTTATTGTTCCTTGCATGTTGTTTATATATTTGCCAGATTAATCATTTAGAGAGAAGAGAATTGATAAAACATGTAAAGATTTTACAAGTTTTAATGTCTTTCTAGGTTGAAAAGTTATTTTTATTTACAATATTAATATGCATTATCTACAATCTTTGTTCTTATTATCACAATCATTCATAATAATTGCGAGTTCAATCCCTGGCAATTCAGGCAGAGTGTACGTGGACTCAATGGGCTTACAGCCATATCACATTGAAATACTGGTTCTCATATGATCACAGAAGTTAAGCAATGTCAAACCTGGTCAGTATCAAGATGGGTGACAGCTTATGAATACCAGATGCTGTAAGCTTTGATGTGTGGATGGTGTAATGGATAATGGAGGACTGAGTTCCAATTCCCATTGGATTTGTATAAGAATTCACTTTTTCTCTCCCTATTATACTACCCAAAAAACATTCATTTATTTTCACTGACCTTTTCAAAATAGAATAAAGTAATAAGTTTAATATCTTCTTTTTTATACTCTTTTCTATGAATTCTTACCTCATACAAAATCCAAATTATACAAGCAAAATGCCTTTCATTAGAACTCTAGTAAATAAATAATTAAAACTAGCTAACATTTGAGAAATGACTGTGTAAAATGTCTTTTATGTTTTTCTCATTTAGATTTTATATTTTCTTTCACTTAACTCTTTCTTTAATTTCTTTGGATACTGACATTTATTTGGCCAAATTGTGCCAATTGATTCAGAAAGCCACTTCAAAGGTTCAGATGATAATTTGTGCTCATTCAACAGTCTCTGTTCTGTATTCAAATGCAAGGAAATAAATAAAGTTACCTCATCATTCACTTTTCTCAATCAGTACACTGGTCATTATCCTCATCCAGTGCAGCTAGCAATTACCAAGCAATTTAAAACTGCTAATGATCCCAAATGCTTTTAGAATAGACACACTTTTCTGATTGGCTATCATTACCAAGAATTGTATTAAGGTCGTTTGTCTTTTTATGGTTATGTGTTTTCTTTTTAGTTTTGTTTTTTTGTAATAATAATTTGGTATAAATGTTGGTTTTATTATAATGACTAGAAGCACTCTTGATGTCAGTGAAAATACGGAGCCTGGGATTTTATCAGATTTGTCTCAATATAAATTTCATATTTCTACCATCTCAGCTGACAATTACCTGATTTTCATGAAGAAATGGGAATATTTACTGCTTTCTCCATTAAATAAAATGCATTTATTTTAGAAGTGTTATTCCAACAAGCAAAACTATTTTGATGAGTGCAAAGTAAAAAAAAATAAATAAACATCATCATCATGTTTCACATTTCATCATCACTCAGAATTTTAAAAATTATCTTCTTGTTTATGATATTGTTCAATGACACTTGACATTTCTTGATATGAAAAAGTTTTCAGAAGTAAAGTTAGTCCTATTCAGATTGTATTCAAATGAATTTCCTGAGAAAAACAGTGTATTTTGAAATATTTTGCTCATATATATATATATATATATATATATATATATATATATATATATATATTATATATATATTCTTCTTGGATAAATCAACTATGTGATAATGTCTACACAAAATTGACCAATTCCAGTAGATTTTAGAAAGTGGTCAGTGCCTAAACCATAGAGCAATAGTCATAAATATTATCTTGAAGAGGTATAACAACATTACTATACCAAACTTTCATTCTTCCGATTATATATTTACAACTATTTTTCAGGAAAGTGCCAGTTGAAAGTTATCAAATATTTCTCTTAAAACAATTTTTCAGAAAAATACATTTCTCAAGGGAAATAACTATTATCACCTTTTCTAGTATTCATGGATCAGCTTTTTTAATTGCCTATCAACCTTTTGAAGATTATTTAAGGTTAGAAAACATATCTAGAATCTAAAAATTTTTTGAGATAATAATGATTCTCTGATACAAGTCCTAATAATTAAGCCATACCTGTGGGAGAAGAGGTGGATTCATGCCTTTCCCAAGATTATTTGCATGCAAGCGAATATAATGAACCTAACAAAATTGGTAATTGGTTCTTTGATTTCCAATTTTAAACTATTATCCATTACTCCACCCTCATATCGAAGCTTACAGCACCTGGTATTCCAAGGGGTCACTCATCTATGTACTGACCAGGCTTCACATTGCTTAACTTTGGTGATCATACAAGAATCAATGTTTCAGCATGATATGGATGTAAACCTCCTTTATAGAGAGAGTCTGCCTACCTACTCATTTGCTTGAAGTATTGTGGAATGTCAACCACCTTATGTCATTATTTTCTCTTTGAGTTCCATGTGCTATTCATTTTAGTTGTTGCTGCTTTTGAAAGTCCCCAACTGATGTGGTTTCTGTTATTTGGTAATGTGATTTGTTTGTAATTATGTAAGTTTTAGCACTTTACCATTGTCTCTTTAACTATTACACATATAAAAAAAAAAGACTAACTGCAGTATCTCCTATTGTTACTTTGTTTTCAGCATCATGATCATAAATGCAGCAATGGTTACTCATCAGCAATTGCACCAATATTTTTCTCCTGAATAAAAAAAAGTGTCATAATCACCATTATGTTGAGGGAATGCTGATTGTGTTTATGTATGAAGCATCCACAGCCCTTTTAGCTTCAGTATGAAAAGTTCATGTAACATAGTTTAAAAGAGGAAAACCCAGAAGAGAATTACTTCCAGGGTTCACATTGTTTTTATACCTCCAGAACTGCTGCTGATACTAGGTTTATTATGGGCTGCTACTAAAGCTATGTTTATTAAGGTACACTACACCATCATCTCAAGATTGTTAACTGCTATTTAGAAGGTCCAGGAATAATCTAGAACCAACCACCAAGCAAATTGCTTTGTTCTATAGCATCGGTTTAATCTTTTTATGAATGGCTCCAGAATCCTATCTTTGCTTAAATTTTTATTTAATAACTTTATATAAATGTATTTTTTGAAATGAGTGCTCATATTTACTATTGCAAATATACAAGGTATATATGTTACAATATTCAGATAACTGCTTACTATATAAACCAGTAAGTAATGTCATAATTTCTTGGTGTGTACTGAATAACAAATTGTAACAAAAAGTATGTAAAATTATAAATATAATATTTTAAATAACAGTCATTTTAAAATGATCTTTGAAAGTAAACTATATTTCAATTGTTCATCTCTGTCGGTTCTCATCATTTGCAAAGGTAAAGGTTCAATATTTATTTTTGGATGACAGCAATTTTGTTTTGATCAATACAAACATTTAAATTAAATGAAAAACAAAATGACTATAGTGATACCATAAACAAATGACCAAATTCAATTTGTAACAAAACTGGAGTAAATGCTTCATACATGGAATAAAATTTAGATGCTATTTAAAAACCGATTTGAATAATTTTAGTACAAATGGCTTGTTTTATCTGTTTTATTTTGATGCTTTTAAGGTAATTATTTGGAAGTACGCATATTCTTACCTATTATTTCATATTATTTATTCAGAAATATAAGTATATAAATATGTAGTTGAAATTGAAAAATTGTTATAGACAAAATAATTGAATGAGGTAAATTTTAATAGTTATAGATTTTGTTAAAGAAATTAAGTCAAATGAATTACTTGCTGAAAACAATTATTAACTATAGTGAAGTGATCATTTGTATATTTGTTGGTAAGATATCTACCAACTGCCCCATTTGGTCAGATGTAGCACAAAGCTGAATTTAATGTGGGACATCCAAGTCCATAGGCTCGGCTAAAAATTCTCTCAAATTCACAGATCAATTCAAAACAAAACTGATGAGCTAATGTTTGTTGCATGGATCATAAATAAAAGTTAAATGATATTTCCAAACAGATTGGAATACTGTTAACATTCTTGTTTTTAACTTTCATCTTAATTTTTTTAATGTGTTTTTAATTCAGAAATCCATCATTATTCTGCCAATATGCAGCCTGACTTTGAAAAACATATTTTATAGAATCAAATGGATTTTAATAGCTTTGTTAAAAAAAAATTTAGTTAGATTAAATTAATTATCAGGTACAATAATATAATCATTATTTCTTGGTAGAGGCCAACTTTAGCACAAGACCCTATTTTTTAAGCACTCAGTGAAGGATGAACTTAGAACAGCTAGGTTTGAATGGTTAACACATAAGCAATGAAACTATGTCAAATGCCTAATAATATTTCTAAGAAAAATATTTAATAAGTCTTTATAATGCCAATTTTAAAGAAGCTCTAATTGATGATTTAAACTCAACTGACTTCCAGTAGATTAACTCTGAAGTAAAATTCATTGAACAACACTTAAATAAACTTTTCTCACTATAAAAAATTTGAATTTGTAAACATTGAAAACACATTAAGAAAACGTAATTTTTTTTCTAAATAAGAGAAATATACAAACTTCACTTAATAAAATTCTCCCATTTTTATGTTAACATCTTTCTGTGATAATTTTTCACTTGAATGAAACTCATTTTATTGCACTAAAATCAGTTTTCAGTTCAATGATTAATTGGAAAAAGTATGTGGCTTAAAGGCATAGGTATTTTTGAACAAAGAAAATCATCATTTCTTGCCATATTTTCACTGCTTGTAAATGAACCATTGTCTCAGATAACAGATTAAAAATGTTGCTGCCATTTGAAGTTAGAAATAGTAATTTCTTATAACTATGATAAAAAGAATTTTCTACAAGCAAAAAGACTTTTACTTTCAAGATGATAGAAGATAAAATATTTATCAAAGCATTTCTGGACTTTTGATCTCGTTACTTTGAAACTCTTATTCAAAATTGAGTACACAAGTCAGCATATCATAATCATCAGTGCTTTAAGGTTCACCGTTTTCTTTTAAATGGAACTGCATAAAGAAAAATAGAAATTTAACCCAGATGACTTGTATATCATGACTCTTAGTAAAAAATTGCTCAGGTTATTACTTTTAAACTACATCATCATCATCAGTTCCATGATTTGGTGATGCCAGAAGGCCATTGTTTATCTGAACTGCAGACATCCCTTTTACATATCTGGGTTGAAATCTGGAGTGGTATTTACTTATGCATCGTGTGTGTTGGGCAAGTAAGCCTGGTGGAGTCTATTCCTCTCCAATTCAACAGCTGTTGATGTCCTCCAACTTTGAAGACTTCTCTTGGTCACAGACACATAGCCATTGATTCAATCAGAGGAAGACTCCACACTAGCTGCTGACTTTAGTCGAGGAAACTCTCCACTTAATGATGCTGTGTCGTCACTGCACTAGCTTCATTCATCTTCACTGTACTGTGTCCCTTCAGGATGCTGG